GAGTTTCGGTCTTTTTGGAACCAAGTTCCGGTTCTTTTGGAATCGAGTTTCGGTACTTTTGGAACAGGTTCCGGTTCTTTTGGAATCGAGTTTCGGTGCTTTGAGAATCGAGTTTCGGTTCTTTGGGATCTGTTTTTAGGTTCTTTTGGAATCGAGCTTCGGTTCTTCTGGTATTGAGTTTCAGTTCTTCCGGAACCGTTTTTGGGTTCTTTTGGAATCGAGTTTCTGTTCTTCTTGAACGGTTTCTCGGTTACTTTGGAATCGTGGTTCGGTTCTCCGGAACCGTTTTTCAGTCCTTTTGGAATCGAATTTCGGTTCTTCCGAAACCGTTTTTCGGTCATATCAGAATCGAGTTTCGGCTCTTCCGGAACCGTTTTTCGGTTCTTTTGGTATTGAGTTTCAGTTCTTCCGTAACCGTTTTTAGGTTCTTTTGGAACCGTTTTTCGGTTCTTGTAAGAACCGGGCCGGTCGGCTCTCCGGTTCCGGTTCCTCGGTTCTGTGCATCACTAGTGCATATGTGCATATGTATGTATCCATATTTTTATCTGCATGCATACATTGTATATAAAAAATTTGTCAACAAAACTTCCAACCTACTGCCATTTTCTCGTTTTTGTTCTTCGTTCAATGTTATTAGAATAACGCTAAACGCTTGTGAGTCATTTTATTTTCTTCCCTTACCCGGCTTACTTTTGTCTGTACATACATACATACTTACTTAACAATGAGTAGGCATAAACAACTTTGGGAAATTTGCAGAAAAACAATTGCAAGCTATTCGTTGAAGTGAATTGCTGAAGGCAAATTTATGGAAAAACCATTAAATCAGGCACTGTGAACGAAAGTAGCGAGTAAATGTCGCCATAAATTTATTATTACAAATTATTAAAATGGCTGGAAAAAGCACATACGAACATGCGTATTTTAATTGTTGTGGAAGAAATTATTCGTAATAAAGTGTAATAAAAATTTGATTAAAACTCATTTATTCTTCTAACATTTCGCTGCAGCTTCAACTTGCCGCGCATAAGTGCCGCTCTGGAGCGTTTGATTGGTACAAATGTAGTGCGTCTGACGGATCACAAATTCATGAGCGAATTGCGCAAACGGCTGGAGGAGGAGCATCGTAATCAATTGGAGCGACGCATAACAGCAAGAGCGGTGAGTAGAGAGTGCGAGAGAGGGGAGGGATGTGGTAAAAATTAACGACAAGCAATTAAAAACAAGGGTTGAGTAAATTAATAATTTAGTATTAACATAAGTCCTGAAAAACTTGAAAAAAACTTAGGCTCAAAGTAAACTTTTGTTAAATGACACTTCTTAGTTTAGGAGGTTTTATTTTTTTACCTTGGTGCCGGTAAGTTACCAGTTAATCGAGTACCGTAACACACATATTAAATACCATCTTAGCAATACAATGAGTGAGTACATAGGCATTGTTGAAATTGTTTAATGTCAAATTCTTATAAATTTATTGACTTCTTATGCACGGTCCATAAGAAACTGAAAACTTTAAAAAACCAATGGAAGTTTTCATATCATTCCTTAAGCCACCAACGGCAGTGACACTTGAGCCGTTAAAGTTAGCGCTCTCATATTTCCTTTCAATTTATTTTGATGAAGTTCTGACATGAAAATGCCTCGAACAAATGCAAAGTAGAAGTAAAAGTAAATTAAAGTATTCTTTACGTGCAAGTATTGTATAACAATTTCATTGTAGTACGTATTTACATACATATATACATGCATACATATGTACATATATATGTCCAAAGTATGTATTACATTAATGGCGGGAGCTACTACAAATCTTAAATAGACTGAAGTGGTATTTAAGCTATTATCATTGAACCATACACTTATCAATAAATACTGCGGTGAAAAGGGCATGTTATAACTACGGGGACCATATTTTTGAAGTAAAAATACAGTACACATTTTAATTTTGTACAAGAGTGCTTTTATGCGCCGTAAAAGTATTTTTTTTTTTGGTGGAGTAACGCCCTCCCACAACTCGTATGGCCTCATTCATAAAAATAAAATAGATTTAAAGAGCTTTATAAGGTGAGATTTTTAAATACATTTTCGATTAATGAATCATTCTTTATTTCTATGAATGCGGGTGTTAGTTAATATATTTTCGAAGGTATTTAAAAAGCAGGTCAAGTATTTACTTTCTCACTCGAATTTAATTTATGTATAGTCGTATAACACGAGTCTACATATCGCGCACTTTCCTCAATGGTATACTAATTCAATACGTAACTTTTCTGAATTGAATTTTTCAAATAGGTGGCAACCCGCTTCAAAAATATGTTACACAGTAAACTTTCTTAAACCCCTTTAGTTTAATACCCGTGTTGTAATATTTAATTTATTTTATCAACTTAATTGAATATACTTTTTCAGGCGGGTGGCAACCTTCCTAAGAATTATTTTCGACAGTAAACTTTCCTAACCCTCTTTTGTTTGATACCCATATTGCAATATTTAATTTGTTAAACTAAACTTTAACTTTTACTTAAAACTACTAAGAACGCTAAGAAAAATGAAAAACGAATTTTCTTATAAAATTTACGTGATGGAATTTTTGCATTATTTTTTTCGTAGCTGAGTATTTTTATTCAGCAAAATGTCCTTATTCTTCTGATGAGAAACGATGGGCATACATATTTCCGAGTGTAAAAATGCCAAGTATTTAGGTTAAAGGTTTATTTTCCCGTACTTTAGAACGCTTTTGTGCAGCAAACCTAATGTTCTATGTTTCCTCGTCCGCATAGGCAGTGTCGGCATTTCGACACCCCCACAACATCTATTCGGTGCATATGAAATCGTAGTTAGTTGTGGATCCTTAGGTACCCAGAGAGTAGCCTGATGACATTTATATTTAACTGAATGATATCCGATCTATTTAAAAGCCAGCCGAAGAGCCTGACCTGTCTATAGCCACCCAGAGTGTTCCCCCTTTAGCAAATATGGTTCTCGAAGAGGAACAACTAAGGCCACAGAATTTGAAGCGTGTTATAGCAGTCTTTAACAAATTTAGATTTCAGCATCTTGTTTTTAGAGAGCTCGGTTGGCTGCATGGGTACCAGAAAATAAAACAAGATTAGGATTACTAAGACTTCAGTCTGGAACACCGTATACTGCAATAAACCAGAGCAAGGGAGATAGAAGGGGTCTCCCCTATAGGTAGCCTCTCACAGCTCTGGTCTTCACTTGAGTGTGGCCCAAGGATGACGTGATTTCACGCCCATAAGGCACCTCATCGATCGAGCCCATAGATGGTTATATGCTCTTTGGACCAATGCCCTTGAGAGCCATAGGCAGTATTGTCCAAAGCCGCGGTGTCCAAGGGTTGTACTCAAAGGCGCTTTCGATCTTACTAACCAGACACCGTAAAGCCAAATTAGTTGTTTTCCCTCTAATATCAGCGAATTGTGTGTGATGTAACAGTATAGACACGATTAGTTTATTCCTATTATAGAGGTCTAACAGTCTCTCCATTGTTTTGAGAATGAAGGAAGTTAAGCTAATAGATCTGCCCTAAAACGACAGGCCAGGGGACCAAGGATGTCCGTGATACTTTTTTGTAGGAGTGCTGGAAAAGTCCCATTGCCATCCCACTATCCTTCCAACCTGCCTTCATAGAAAACTATCCCGTTAGAAGATTCCTTTGATAAAATTTTATAGAGACGTTAGTCTTCAGGCAGTGTCTTTATTGACCCTATTGACGCTGTCTCCATAATTCCCTCTTTAAGCGACTCGTTTGTTATAGTCAGTGAGAGCAGCGTTGTACTCTTCCCACTGATGTGATCTTTTCGCCATGTTTAAAAGCTTTATGACAGACTTGCGTTTTGCATCCAGTTCGTCGTTCCACCACGGAACCCTAAATTTCATCATGGTGGAACCAGAAACTGTGCTGCAGGTACTGGAAGGATTCCAGCAGGACCCTCTTGAGCAGATCCACTGCAGCCACCATTTCATCGATTGAGTTAATCTCTGATTTCGAATCTGATGTGCTGTTGATCCCAGAGCGATGTTTCGTTCGCCAATTTTATACAAATTCAGAAAGTGATCTGCTGCAGAGAGTGTATTTTAGTACTCCCTTTTGAAACCTTTGTACCTGGTAATGAGACATCCGACCATTTCACTAGAACCTAGTGACAGCAATTCTGAGATTTTTAAGCCAAATTAATAAATTCTAACATTCTATCTAATCTAGCAATACGTCTTATCGGCGAATTTCAGATCGTTTATGTTTTGTATAGGGATTATTAGAATTACATGAAGCCTTAAACGAAAAGCTTCAGGTGTAAAATTGCCTAAACGGAAAAAATCACATTTAACGGATATATAACGGCTGGCAAGTGTGACATTCACTACGCCTGTGTATATCCATCTTTCACGCAGAAAGAACGTCAGACACATTATTAAGCGCACAAAAAAAAATAAAACAAAACTGGGCGATGTGTTGCAATCATAAAAATGTCAATGGAATGAATGTCTGCATTTTATATTTGCAATTTAATTTTCATTTAGTAAAATTCTACCTATATACATAGTTCCGTGCCAAGCTAATATACATAGATCGTTGCCAATATTTCTGTGGCCCAAGTCACTGACAGCTTGACAGTTATGTGACAAGAAGGCATGCAAATAAATGCAATAGTAGTATTGGGTCTGACACTCATAAACATACATACAAATGTGGTTTAATGCATAATACGTTGTTGCTTATATTTTAGCTGTTTACAAACATATATATATATGTACGTGCTATAGATTATTTAGTGAAGCGCACTTTATTTTTTTATTTTATTTTATTTTCATTCATTTCTCAACCATTTCCTTTTTTTCATTATCAACTGTGTGCTCATTTCCCTTCCTTCTTTTCCAAATCTTCCAAAATTATTAGCTCCGAGAAGTCGAACGTGAACGTCTCCTAATAATCGAAGGCAAAACGGATGAGATACCCGAAGAACTGGCAGATGATCCAATATTTGTTGTTAACAAAATTGCGAATAAAGAAATACAAAAAGAGCGCGCTAAGGTAAGTTGATCAAATAAATTATATGTAGGTAAAGTACAAAATTACAAAAACTTTCTTGCAAATTTAATTTAAAAAAAATTTCAACAAAAAATGTGTCGTCTCCTCCGCTAACAATTAGCTAAAAACGAATCGTGAACGCAATGCGGAACGCTTAAAAGCACAAGGCTCCAAATGGGAACGTGAACGTCAGAAATATGTGGAAGAAGAACAACAACGTGTAGAGAATATTAAAGAGCGCAATAAGGCGCAAAATGAACTTGAAGACCGCTACAAAACCGAAGATGCCGAACGAGGCATGGACTTATTGCGGTGAGTTAAACTTAATTGCTGTGGCTATGGTTAATGTCTGCGGTTCTAATGTCACGCTGGTAAAATAATAAACATGATTTACTTATGCAATTTAAAAGCGCGCAGTCGGAGTCGCGAATTGGGTGATGCGCTCCCAAGTTGTATTTTATAATTACTTACTTTTTGCTACTTTTATTTTTGTATTTGTTTTTTGCTTTTATAATGTTTATGTGCAGCATTCGCCGTTCAAGCAAATATGCCTCGAGCAATAGAGCCATTTATTTTAGCGTGTACATATTTTAAGTGCTGAGCGTTAGCAGCAGGCAACAGCAACAGTGTCAACACACTCCCTTACTTGAGTTAGCCGTTTCTTGTTTTAAACGTGCTGCAGCATATCCCCAATTCTTATTTTACTCATACAGCCAACTGTTTTTTTTTAAGCATGATTATTTTTATGTCGCCCTAAATATAAGATACAGCTTTCATTTGAATCTCATTTAGAAACGCAAAGGAGTACGGAAAATCATCTCGACACCTCAACCAATTCGCAATAACTAAATGGTACTAGTACCGAGCTGGGACAGAACTATTACGAAATTCTTTCAGCTAAAGCCTTTTGCGTAGCCATATTTCCTTTCCATTAGAAAGGACTTGATGAGGATGAAGATGAAGATGAAGATGAAGATGAAGATGAAGATGAAGATGAAAATGAAGATGAAGATGAAGATGAAGGTGAAGATGAAGATGAAGATGAAGATGAAGATGAAGATGAAGTTGAAGATGAAGAT